TGGAACAAACCTTCAAATTCCAAGAAGTGAATGCAGAGCCTACCTGAACAAATAAATAGGAGGCCTTGGATTAAACTTGAGGAGTCAACAAAACAGCTAGTGCATAAACCCAGGTCGGGCCCCGGTCCAGGAAGAAAAAAAAAACAACACAAGAAATTTGACAACCACCAGACAAGAATTGAAAGAAACATTCTTTGACTGGTGTGATTGTTCTATTCATCATGGTTTACCATGGACTTTGCTTCAAAAATGATACCTATTCTTTGAAAATTATTCAGAGAAGTATTTTCTCTTTTCATCATTTTTTTTATTTATATGTTTTTAACCATTTCTGATGACCTTATGCAGTATAGTAATTTTTATTGTAAAAAAGGCACATTTCATTTGCATTGATTATTTTTACATACATCTTATTGGTCATCATTTGGCACACAAAACACTTAATTTGTGTAATTCTTTCATTTTTGTGTTAACAATAAATTTATCATCTATTTTTTTAAACTCGCCTCATGTTGTCTGTCTTTGTTGTGTGCTCATATAAATTAAAAATGCTACCTTAAACATTTGTTTGAACTATTTTTTTTTTGTAGGGTTTTTTACCAAATAAAAAATTCTTTATTATATATTTAACTTTAACAATGTTAATTCACTTTACTTTTACATGTTTTGAACTTTTGATTAAACCACTGGTATTGTTAACCAAAACTTTTGAACTCACAACTATTCCCTAGCTGTTGTGAGTCCAATCACTCAGTTGGGTAGTGTCTAAAAAAGTCGTATATTCTGGTTCAACAGATTGACAAATAACAGAAAGACAAATATAGCTGGGAAAGAATCAGTATATGATTTGTTGAGGTATCTCTTAAAGTTTAAGGGATATCTCAACCAACTGGTTATTTGGAGTACAAAACGAGAACAATCTCTACCTAGCAGAGTGACTATAAAGTTTTGTATAAAATTCCTACAAGTTTACTGACAATATTGTTTTGCTGGCGTGTTAATTTATTTAATAGCCAAATGACCGTTGAACATGTTCATAGTTAAGTATGGTGAAGCAGACGATAAAGATTATAAGGAGGGACGATAGAGATTATAAGGAGGGACAACCCTTAAAACACGTGACCTTTTAATGATAGATTTATCGGTTTGTACAGCCATACTTCAGAAATTCTGCACGTATATACGCATACAAAAACAAATAAAAATCCTTTTAAAAATATTCGGGATTGTCATACTGTATTAAACTTTACAATATATGATTATTAGTAAATATAGTTTTAGTTATCACATTGAAACTGAATTTTAAGACTTAAAAACTTTATAAATTATTCAATTTAAAATTGTAAAAAATGAAAACAAATCTTGTAAAAATTCATTTTTTATCGAAAATGTTTTTTCTTCCGACAATTTATCTTTACTTTATTCATAAAAGTAATTAAAAGCTTCTCTAAATAAATAATGACTTTGTTTTATTGCGCTTTTATTTTTCGATTCAGAACAGCAGTAAGAATGGATCAGATATTCTCAAAATAAAAAAAAATTCGGTGATAAATTCTTCAAAGAATTCTGCTTTTAGTTTAGTCACTAAAAAATTGGCGGGAGTGAAACACATATAAAAAATATTTTTACGAAGATTTTCTAATAAAAATTTTTTAAAAATATTTCCATTCATTTTTGAATAAATCCTGAAAATTTCATTAAAATTCGTCAATTATTTGATTTTTACAAGAATTTCCAAATTAATGTGATTGTCATCGTAAAATAAAAAATAAAGACGCTAAAATTTGCTACGCTAAAAAAAGGTAGTACAACAGCTGACGCAAGAAAAACAAGGTTTTATTTTAATCAAAATTTGGAATGTTCTGAAATTAACAAGGAGAAAAAAAAGAAATATTAAAAAAAAAACTTTGATCTTAATAAAGATTTTGACAATAAAATTATAATTATGTTTTACTTTTCAATTTTCATTACGTTTTTTGTGGGTAAATTATGTTTCATTTTTATTTTTTACTTAATTTCTTTTTCTTAAGGCAATATTATTTGAATTCAATTCATCAAAGCAATTATAAAAGCTTCTACTAAATGTCTTTTTAGTTTTATTGCAATCTTTTATTTTACGATTCAAAGTAAATTTTTTTACAAAACAAAATTGATGATTTATTTAATTTAAATTAGCCACTAAAAAATATCACGCTGAATTTTTCCAGTTTTCATAATAAGTGAGGTGAAACACATGTAAAAAAAAAATTATTTTTCCAAGATTTTCCTGGGGGATACATTTCTAAAATAATTTCATTCATTTGTGAATAAGTCCTGAAAATTTCATTAAAATTCGACAATTATTTGATTTTTGCAAGACGCCAAAATTTGCTAATTTGACTAAGGAAAACAAATTTTTAATGAAAATTTTGAATGTTCTAAAAAGGATAAAAATGTAATTAAATATTAAAAAATACTTTGTGATCTTTCCTTTTAATAATAATATAAATATTTCGATGATAAAACTGTATTTTTCATTAAGTTTAGAGACTGAGTATTTTCTCCCAATCATGAGGTACCACAACTTTCAAAGTATATAAAAGTAAAAGTAAAAAAGTTATTTTAAATAACATAAAAGTACGAATGTAAAAAAAAAAAACTTTTAAAAGTATAGTTTTTAAAAGTAAACGATAATACACAAGTTAACAACCAGTATTTTTTTTCCTTAACTGATTTGTATTTGTTTATGCATACAGTAAGGAAAGCTTACCTGTAGACGTCCATCTTTTTCTTAAGTTTTTTCTCTCACCATTCTTTGCTGCTATTCAATTTTTAAACTGAACTGTAATCAATGGACTGTGTGATTTAGGTCACAATATGTAACCAATCGTTACTTAGTAAAGGAAGGGAGATTATTTCAACCAGAATAACATACGTAAATGAAGAATTTCTTAAAAGTTTTACATTTAAATAAAATATAGATATAAAATTGTCTGTAATTTAATGATTTCAAAAAATTATTTCTCCTTATTTTTCAACATAATCTCTTCCCTTGACAATTCACTTAACTTAGTCATTAACACTGGACGAAATGATTTTCTTAAAATTTAAAAAAAAATCATTGAAATACAGATATGACAATGACATGTATCTGGATATAATCCAATGATTAAAAAATATTTTATAAAAATATATTTATTTTAAATTTTTTCTTTTCTTGGCAATGCACTTAACTTTCAACTAAGTGATAAGTGTTATGAAATTTGATTGAAATTACATCAGTTTATTTGTAATTTAATGATAAAAAAGTTTATCTTTAACAAAAATATTTACTTTTTAACATAATCTCTTTCTTTGTTAATGCACTCAATTCAGTGGTGAATTTTCATTTAAAGCACAAAGTTTAAAGTACAGATGTACATCAATCTGTCTGTAAAGTAAGGATGAACAAAAAACATTTTTTATTTTTATTTTTTATCATATCACCCCATGCAAGTAAGCCACTAAGACACAGGGTTAATGAGTGTTAAAGGATAAGAAAAAATATTAATAATGCAGAGCGCTAAAGGTTAACTGTTCCCTTTCTGCTGCATTCTTTTTCAAGGACTCTCAATTGCAGTATCCTTATTGTTGATTTCACTGTTGCCATAGCAGGATATGACAACACAACTATGAAATTCAAACACACTATTCTTTGAGAATTGATCATGTTCAATGGTAGGATAAATGTTTTGTATAACAAATGAAGTCACATTCAGAGTGATAAAGGTTAAGGTGTAAGAACAATAGAAGATTAAGAAGACAGATTGACATTGCATTTAAATTTGTGAAGATCAAACCCATAAAATATTTGTCTTTCAACATAACCTCTTCCCTTGTCAATGTACTTTATTCAATGGTAAACTTTCAACTAAGTGATAAATGTCATGAAATTATAATAAAATACAGATGTACATCAATTCACTTGTAATTTAATGCTATTTGTAGCCCAAGAAATTTCATAATGATGACTTTGTGGGCGGTGGTTGTGGATCAGAATATTTTCTACAAACAAATTTCAATGAAAATTTTAACTCATACATTTTTTATACAGATATGTTCGAGGTGGTGCAATAGTTAGTCTTTTCTCATCAGATCAATTACAATTGAGTGCTCCGTGCCACATCTTAGATAAAATACTTAGAAAAACCACTATATGGACACATTTGTGGTTGGAATTAATACTTACATGCTAATATCATTGGAAAGGTATGAATCCTACTCTTCTCCTCCCAGCTATGGATAAATAGTAAGACAGCCTGGATTCTATAGCCTAGGAGAAAACTCTGAATTCAAAACTGTATGTAGCCCTTTGAAGTACATATTATACAGCTAAGGAAAGGATCATTTACAGTTACTCAATGATCCTGACCACTGTTGACTTCTTTAAAAACATTTTACACAATTTTTTTTTAACTTTAATATTTTCTTGTCAATCCACTTAATTTGGTGGCAAACATTGAACTAAATGTTGAATTTCATAAAATTTTAGAATTTGATTAAAATGCTGATGTACATTGAATCACTGTAATTTAATGCTAAGAAAAACATTTACTTTACAAAAATATATTTTTCGACATAATTTGTTCTCTTGTCAATGCACTTAAATTCTGTGGTGAACATTAATCATGTAAACCAAATATTATACAGTGAAAATGTAAGATGAACATCTTGTTAATAACGGCATGCCAGGCTACAAACTAATTGATTCAGCCTTAGATACCAATATGGTTTTAGTAATTACTGTGTAACTACAATCTTTAAAATGAATGAAAGTTTTGACTTATATCCAAGTACACCAAATTCCACAGTCGGTCTAAAGATGAAAAATCTTTTATTTAACATGATAAACATTAAAAGGTTAATATTAAACATATAAATCATATATTATACAGTGAAAATTTCAGAACAAAATTTCACTTTTTATAAAAGTAAAATAAAAACATATAAACAAAATAAACTAAAATAAAGAAAAAGGCTTATGGCCACATTACATTGAAACACATGTTCCCACATGACCACTGAAGTTAAGCAATGTCAAGCTTGGTCAGTACCTAGATAGGTGACCACTTGGGAATACCAGTTGTTGTAAAGCAAGATGTGTGGGTGGGGTAAATAGATAATGATTTGGAAATTTAATCAGAGAGCCAAGTTCTAATTCCCATTGGGATGCACAAATACCCTTGGGAAAGGTATGAATCCACCTTTTCTCCCCTAGCTATGGATTACTTATTAAGACTTGTACCACTAAAATCATTATTATTTCAAAAAAAAAAAAATCCAAAAATATTTTCTGGCTTTAAATAACCTGCAAAGTGTTGATAAGCTGTAGAAAATGAATCAATAAGTCAACCAATAAAATAGAGAATAAAAACAAATACAAGCAAATATGAAAAAAACAATCATTAAAAATCATTATGACTGGTCAACTTTGGCTCCACAACAAAAATCACTACCTCTCCTTGGCAGGGCAGAATTTATAGTGGTTTGAGCAGGAATTTGGATTATATCTTCTTCTATGTGTTGTGTCCCTTCAGAACCTTGGCAGTCATGGCCCTCCATAACTTTCCTATCCTTTCTTAGCAATATTTGTCTTTTACTACCCCTACCACTGCTTGTTCTGCCATCAGTTTACACAAACTGATTAGGTACCTCTGTTCCTCTTGCCTTTAATATGTCTTGTGAGTGTCAAATTTTCCAAGCTTTCTTTCCTCATTATCCTCAAAATTTCAACCGTTTCTATCTGATTCTAAGCATAAGAATCTTTTTTGCTTTTATTTTCCTTAAAATGTCCTCATTACTCACATGTTCAATTCTTGGTATTCTTAACATCTGACTGTTTCTTCAAGTCCCCTCTTCATCACTAGTTTGTGAATTTGGTGGCATAGTAATTATGAGTTCAATCCCTGGGTTGGGTAGTGCAGACAAACCTAGTGGAAAGATGGAGAGCAACAACTAAGAGGTACTAAAAAAGAAGAAGACAAGATATCGTTAGACAAGAGCAGCAGAACACAAACAATCTATCTAGATTAGATAAAAGGTTAAAGTTCAAATTTCTCTGTAGGTTACCTGTATTGACAGACAACTAAAGAAGGCTGTAGGACACAACTGCCAAAAACATTGTGATAACCTCCAGGGAAGGGACTCATTGTGCTTTCTCGGCTAATGTTCTCAACTGGCATGAAGTGGAAAGACTATATTGAATCTATTGCTAGGTCAGCTGCTAAGAAAGTTGGCTCACTGTGTTGGGCAAGACAATTTTTCTCTCCAGAATCTATTTTACATATCTATAAGTCTACCATTCGTCATATATAGTTCAGTGGCCCGGCTATTTACCTGAGCTCCTTCATAAGATCCAAAGAAGAATCAGCAGTATTATAAGTCCTGATCAGGCAGTTCAGCTTTAGTCACTTGCCCATTGCCATAAGGTTGACTCCCTGTACCTTTTTTATAAATATTTTCATGGTAATTGTTCGTATGAACTCTTTACTATGGTACCTAGACTATGAATTGGCAAGATCTAGATGTAGCCATAACTTCTATGCTAACAGTTTTTTTCTCACACTTCTTGCTTGTGGAACTCCCTTCCAACTCCATGCTTTCCAGCCACCTTTAATCTGCAAAAAGTTAAATGCAATGTCAATCACTATCTACTGTATTTTCTCTTTCTACTAATTCCTCTACACCTTATAACCCTTTGCATGTTAGTGACTGTCTGCCTTACTTAAAGTGAAACCGATTAAAAAAAGAAAAAAAAGATAAGATATTAATTCAAATGTCATCATCATCGTCAGTCCCTTGATTGTTTCAGTCACTGAGGGTACTTAAAGGCAGAAGAAACAGACAAGCTCCTCCTTTCTAATCTGGCCATCCCTGCTGTGGCAATCTGTATGCATATTTCTGCATTGTAGGTGTCATCTTTTGACTACGTTATCATGCTAGACAATTTTTCTTGCCAGAATCTAACTTACATATTTATAAATCTACGATTCATCTATGCTTTGGATATTGCTGACATATCTGCTCTGACTATATATTTATAAAATTCAAAGAAAAATCTGTAATATTATTCATCCTGACCTGGCATCTTAGCTTCAGTCACTTTCCCACTGCCATAACATAGCTTCCCTATGCCTTTTCCATTCATATTTTTATCATAATTGTTCTGATGAACTTTCTTCTATGGTACCTAGACTTTACGAATTTAAGTGCAGTACTAGATTGGCAGCAAGGTCTCATCATTCTAAAGCTGTAAGTACTGTGCTAACAAGTGTCTTCTCTTGTAATTCTTGCTTCTCTTCTGGCTTCTTACTCCCAGTCAAATTTGATCTTCAAAAATTTAAATGCAAAAACAATTGTTATTTTCTGTCTTCTTAATTCTTGTTCTTTTTTCATTCTCGTTAATAGTGTTTTTTTCTCCTCATATTCTCTAAGAGTCTTGTGTCTTAGTAGCTTGGAGTGAAATGATTGAAAAAAATAAATGTGACTCACCCATACAAAAATGGCTGACACACATTTTGTTAATATTTTTTACTTCTCTAACAAAAGAAAACTTTGAAATCACACTCTGACTTGGCAGTCACTGGAGCTAAAAACTACTGTATGCATTTTATGTTTTACGCAATAAAAACTAAGTGGCATGAAGTTTGCTAACAAAGATAGAATTCAAGATTAAAACATTTTTATAATTGAACCTCTGAATGTTGTTTTAGGAGGTCATATCAACTATCGATATACTATGCCTTACACTTAATGTTGGTGCTTGTTGCTGTATTAATTTCAAAGGTATCATCATCATCATGCCAAACAAGCTCAACTTAAAAGATTGGTTTCCATGCCAGGAATTGAACCTGGAAAATATATATATATATATATATATATATATATATATGAGTGTGTATGTATATGTATGGATGTGTGTAAGGTTTTATGTATATATGTTTATATTCACATATGTGTGTGTATGTGTATATGTATGCATGAGTGTATGTGCATTGCTATATATATATGTGCACATGTATATGTATGTATGTGCGAGTAGATATAGATATGTTGTTGTGTATGTGTGTATCTACATATAAATAGGTCCTTACTAGATTAAATATTCATTAATTTTTATATGTTTATGTCAGATTTGAAACCTGCAGGTGATATTAATTGCTTTGTCAAATTTTCTTGATTCCACATCGGTTATCTTATAAATGCCCTTCGTTTTTAGTCCCCCCACTTTTTTTTCCCTCTCTCTCTCATCTTCTGGATTTTAAGTTTAGATCATACCATTTTATATATATATATATATATATATATATATATATATATATATGCACTATGTATTTAATTTTTTTTTTTTGAGACCAAATTTTTTAAAATTTTACTTTTTTAGATTTTACATTTTAATTTATATGTATATGTATATGTGCATACATGTGTGTGTATGTGTGTATATGTGTAGGTGTGTATATAGGTATATGTATGTGGATGTATATGTATGCGTAAATATGTATATGTATATTTATGTATGCATATATGGATGTATGTATATGTAGATAGATGTATATGTAGATGTGTTTATATGTGTGTATATGTTTTGGTATGTATGTACTCATATATATCTGTATATGGGTGTATATGTATGTATATATGTATGTATGTATGTATAGTTAGACGGATAGATATAGGGATACATTGTTTATTTGTTTAGATGGGTGTATGTAATTGTATGGAGATGTAAGGTTTTATGTATATATGTTTATGTGCATGTATGTATATGTCAGTATGTATATATGTGTGTAAATGTGTATATATATGTAGGAGTGGATGTGTATGGATGTATTTGTATATGTATGTATGTGTGTGTGTATTTATGTATGTATATGTATACATGTATGTGTGTGTATGTATGTGTATGTGTATGTATGTATATGTATGTGAGAATATGTATATGTGTGTATGTGTCACACCACAAACTCGCTTGACTCTACATTTGAATGAAAACTCTAACATTTTTAGGCATTTAAAACAACATGCCTGCCCGCACACACAATTCCATAAAATACTTGTCGAAAACACAATTATACTTTGACATGAAAACAATAGACAAAAACTAAAAATACTTGAAGCATTATACATCAAACAGTTGAAACCCAGCCTAAACAAAATCAATTATGGCATCTCTACAAATATTCTTAAATGTCTATAATTGGTAGCAGAAGCCATTGATTTATACCAACGGCTTTCCATACTTCATACTTCTCCAATTCACTCTCGTGTGGTCATGTGTGACATCATGAGATGTGGTGCGATTTTCGCTTCTAGCGTCTTATATGTACGTGTTTATCATTGCTTAGAAATCATCTATGTAAACAATGTCAGACTATCATCACTGTCTTGTCCGTATATTGTTTAATATGTTGTAATTGACATCTTTGATAATGGCTTATGTAAGCCGAAAGCCTAGATTGTATTAAAAAAATATGATCAATATTGTGAATTTCTTTCTTCATTCAAAAATAATGTTATTAAACTTATTAGACATTAAGAAAAAAATTTACATAAAATAAATAGACAACACTTGTCTATATTATTTAATGAAACGTGTATATATATATATATATATATATATATATATATATATATATGTATGGATATATGTGTATGTGTGTACATGGGTATATATATGTGTGTATGTGGGTACACGCCTATATGTATGTATGTACGTGTATATGTTATTGTGTATGTGTGTATACGCATGTGTTTTTGAACATAAAAATATAGGTCCTTGCTAGATTAGATAATCGTTATATTTATTTTTTATAGGTTTATATTTGATTTGTAACCTGTAGTCGATATTAATTTTGTCAAATTTTCTTAATTACACAGCAGTCCTTTCAGTAAATGCCCTTCAGTTTTGGTTTCCCCCGCCCCTTTTTCTTTTCTTTTCCTCTCCCTTCCTCTTCTTCTGATCTTTAAGATTAGATCGTTTATTGCGTGTGTATGTCACCACAAAATATATCCTTTCCGTTTACATCTTTAATGCATTAGACATCCAACAACATTCATATTTCTCTCACTTAAACCTCTTCAACTCACCTC